CACAGAGCGTGGCCATGAACCAGCTGATCTCTTTTTCTACCTCCTCAAATGCTGGAGATGGTCCCAGGGAGTTGGGAGGGCAGCTAAAGCCTTTACTGTTCAGACTTTTGAAACAATTGAAAGGACCAAGCAATTCACTAGCAAAAAACAGAGAAATCCAATATAGTTAATATTGGATTATTAATTAGTATTATCCCAGTTAAAAATAAACGGGATTTTGTCGAAAAATTCTCACAGAGCCTTTTGAAGTTCTGAATTATTAATACACTGACTTATAAACACAGCCCATTAATTGATTAAAGGCCAATCCCCTGATATTCAGGGAAGAATTTCCTAAAATATCTCCAACAGTACCTGGGAAGTTGATGAAAAGTTCTGCTTCCCTTTGACCTTGTCCAGCTAATTGGCCTTGTGGTGACGAACACACACCCTTTGACCAACAGGCTATTATATTTTTCATAGTATTTAAGGCTGTAAGGCTCAGAGTACTGACGACCTTGTGAAAATGCAACATTTAATAAGCATCATTAGCTGAGTGACTTTGGCCACAAAACTGAGTGCTGTTCTTTTCTTTATGGACAAGTTCAGCTAGAATCTCTGGATACCCACCTAAAGCTTCATTAAAGTATGTGGAATTACATTTATGATTTAACCCTATTCTCTTGTGTAAATATAGTCCTAGTTGATCGATATTGTTCCACACATAAATGATGCAATGAAGGAAAACTGTTACAGCCTCCCTTGTCTCAGACATGTAAGACCTTAATCTAACACTTGCTTTAAAAATCTCAATTTATTCCTTCAGCGTTACCTGAATTCAGATGGTGGACCGTGGAACCTCACCTGGGATATCTTAAAAAATATAAATTTTGTTTTCTTCCTATTGAGAATTGAATACCCCAAATCTGAAATCTAAAATGTTAGGCTGATTGCAAGAATAGCAAAGTCTAGGAGAAAAAGTCAATGAATTTTGATCGAAATTTTAGTGAACAGCTTCTGGCTGCATTTTTCAAGGAGAAATTTCACTAAGAACATCCCTTGCTTGTGGTCCAGAGACCAAGTGTGAGGGATTAGTATATTTTGTTTGATCATGGATTTTTGTAATGTCTGTAGCCCTTTCCTCCTTGCCACTGGCCATTCTTTGTAAAATGATCAAGTCAACTCGATTGAAAGTAAAAAGACAGGTTTCTACCATTTGTGTGCTGCCAGAGGGGTCCTGTTTTTCTGGGAACAAAAACACTTTAAGTTACACTGTGTGTGATGAGAAAACATTTCTCACTAGAATTTTGTTTGTCATTGAGTGGACGTGGGACCCATCTGAGCTAACAACTGATCAGAATGTGCTGAGTTAGCTCAGGCGAATGCAGTTTTCCTTCTTCATTCTCAGCCCACGAGGGGTTATTGTCTTTAATTAAGAGAGAAAGGGAACGAGAAGCCCATGTGGCACAGCAGAGGTGAAACATTAATGTGAAGCCAGGTCAGGACTGAATCCTTGTGACCATAACTGCTGTCACTCAGTGACTCAGGGTGGAACTACCCTGAGAGCTAAAAGGCTGAAGCTTTTTTTTTTTCCCTTATAGAATAATCCTGCTTAAGAACCCTGAGTGTGCATATATCCCTCTGAAGATTTCTGACAGCTTGCCTGCCTCAAGGGAAAGACAAAATCGGATTTAGTCCTTGTTCTTTTTTTGCAAATAAATTCCTTCTTGATAAATATGGTTGCCAGGCCACAAACTAATGTGTAACGTGAGGAACAAGTGTCTCTTCCTGTGTGGGTCTCTATGTATTCATCCATCTACCTCTCTCTCCCTTCCTCTTTCCTACCCTCCTTCCTTCCATTCTTCCTTCACCCTCTCCCTCTCTCTCTGATAGAATTACCTCTTTCAGATAGAATTCCCTCATGCATTTGTTCATTCATTGAAAACCTAGTTTTTGAGTGCCTACTATGTGCCATGCACTGTTTAGGTTCTGGTGATGTAATGGCAAACAAAACAAAACAGACCACGTCTCTAACCTCAAGGAGCTTACTTTCTAGAACTCTCTGAAGTTTGATTGAACCCTGGCTCTTGCTTTGCTAGCTTTGTAACTTTGGGGCAAGTTACTTAACCTCTCTGTTTCTCATTTTCCTCACCAATAGGGATAATATTAGTACTTGTCTCAATTTAATCCTTTTTAAGGATAAAATGAGGTAATATATGCAAAGTATTTAGAAACGGAATGTATGGCTCAGGGTTAGTGCCCAGTGCAGGGTGAGATTTTCATTGATGCTGTTTGTATTATCATCACATTCTTTCTTTCTGAAGTGCTTATTGCCTCATAGTTTGGTGACCTGAGAGAACAGTTTCCTTGTGCCCTATTTTCGGGACCAGGAAGCAAGCAAGAGGCTCTGAAAAAATGCCCAGGGAGCAGTGGTTGTGAGAGCAGCACATGTCTGCCGGAAGTGCATTATCCAACTATGTCTTAGCGCAGTCACCCCAGAGGCCTGCCAGGAAAAATGAGAGTGAGTACTCTGTATGTTTAAAGAGGTGTATGAGCAAAAACAAATCAAAATGAGTTTGGGACACACTTTATAAATACAGGTTGAGTATCCCTAATCTGAAAATCCCAAATCTGAAACTTTATAAGCACTGACATGATGCCACATGTAGAAAATTCCACACCTAACCTCATGGGATGGGTCACAGTCAAAATGCAGTCAGAATTTTGTTTCATGCAAAAAATGTTTAAAAAATTTGTATAAAATTATCTTCAGACTATGCATACAAAGAGCATATGAAACATAAGTAAATTTTGTGTTTTGATTTGGGTCCCATCCCCCAAATATGTCAGTCATTATGTATATGCAAATATTTCAAAATCTGAGAAAGTGCAAAATCCGAAACATATCTGGTCCTAAGCATTTCAGATAAGGAATACTTGATCTGTACATAGACCCTTTGCATAGTAGCAAAATCAGATCTATTGCTTTTTCAAAGGGCAGTGGAGCCTCTTTCTCTTCTACATTTATAATATATATCTAGAAGGAAGTAGAATCTCCTCTGCTTTCTAGTAGCCCATTTTCCAGTACTTTAACTCCCTTTTTATTTCGAGACGGGTCTTGCTCTGTTGCCAGGGCTAGAGTGCAATGGCATCATGTTAGCTCACTGCAGCCTCCAACTCCTGTGCTCACATGATCCTCCTGCCTCAGCCTCCTGAGAAGCTGGGGCTATAGACACACACTACCAAGGCTAACTTTTAAATTTTTTTTTGTAGAGATGGGGTCTCATTGTTGCCCAAGCTGGTCTCAAACTCCTGGGCTCAAGCAATCCTCCTGCCTTGGCCTCCCAAAGTGCTAGGATTACAGGCGTGAGCCACCGCACCCGGCCTAACTCTTTGATATTAGCAAATGAGGTAAATCGTTTCTGATATTTTTTCAGATACACCAAATTCTACTTTTGGCAGTGTCCCTCTGCCCTACGTGCCTTGCAAGTGGCTTTCCTGGTTTCTGACAAGAACAATGATGAATCACTAGCTTGGGGTAACTTGTATCTCTTCACACTATTGATTTTAGGAAAATATTTTCAGAAGCTTGGAAAGCCATATATTTAATGTCATTTGTCTTTAAAACATCACTGTCCAAGGAAGAAACAATCACCAGGCTTTACACATTCGTTAAATCAATGATATGGTTTCTAAAATGAAAAGAATGTTTTAAAACCTTTCTTTTAACTTAGAGGAAAAGTAAATTCTACTTTTTACGTGACTCTGCTTTTTAATAAAACTCTAGGTATAGTTTATTCTTAATACAAGTAAGTCTTTTTATTTGTTATTATTAATTATTAAAATTTGCTGCATAATTAACACCTATTTTTGTGAACCAGTAAATATTGTTATACAAAGAAGTGTCCATTTTTTTCTTACCCTTAGTTTTTGCTTCTAAATTCGTATTCTTCATAAGTCAAAACAGTCCACTCAATCCTGGGGTGACAACTTCATTTTTGGTATTCTGAGTGTGAAACCTTGACAAAGGTGTGTTTAGATTTTATTTTGGTTACAATTCTTGTTTTCCTTTTATTCACATGCACTTTTACCTCCATCAGTATTTCTTAAAAAGAGGCTTTAGCCCTTTCACTGTTTATGGACCCGGTATGTGACTTTGAGCGGGTAATTTAGCTTCTGAAGGTCTCGTTCTCTTCACAAGTAAAGTAAAGGGCTGAACTTCATGATCTTTAAACCTATTGAATCTATTGAATCTATTCAAATCCATTTCTTTCTCGTGAGAACTAGAGTATGTGAGATTTGATAATAAAGGTACTAAGGCTTACTCTGTAACCAAAGGAGAAATAAGTTTCATTACTGTGGGTAATTAAAGACCTGAACAACAAAATGGCCTTGACACTGAAATTAAACCCACACCACCCTAATTTGCCTTTGGTATCTTGGAAGACATTGAAGGTTACTGGAAAACTTCAGGCGTGGATGGGAACATTGTCCTTCATTCGTACAGACAGAATATTAGCCAAAAATCCTCTAGGCTTTTTTGTTTTTAATTCTCCAACCAAATTCCAATATCAACATACATTCTAGTGATCTGTTTCTATCTCATCAAGTATAGAACAGAGAGAATGAAATGAAATTCAAGTATTCTGGTTATCAGAATTTCATATTAAGGAATCTTTATTTTGTGGGTTCTATAAACGAATGATTAATTAATGGGTGGTTAGATCGTATTCAGAAAGCAGCATTTTTTTTCCTCATGTAAAGGCAAGAAAGGATATTGCATATATTGATCCGAGTATACTAAATCAAGGATAGAGGGAATGATAGCTAGTTGGGGACCAAAGAAATTCCTTTATGCTGACTGCAAAGGGCCCAGGGGTTCCTTATAATAAGATTATGTCCTTATAAATTTTATATCATTTACAAAATTGTTCAACATCTTTTTTTGGGGGGGGATAGACTCTATTATTCTGTACCCCCAGTATAAGGTAACCACTGAGAACACTTTGTCAGGTTCTTACCTTGAAGAAGGTCATCGTTGATCCATCTCTGACTGCCCCATATTCTATCTTGGTTTGCTTTGCCAGATCATCTGCTGAATCTATGGGGGATTCCATTCTCTCTACTGTCAAGAAGGCAGCCAGATTGGCAGTGTAGGATGAAATGATGATTAGGGTGAAAAACCACCATATCCCTCCAACTATTCTGGTCGATAGAGCTTTGGGCATCAGCTCTGATCCTGTGATGGTATCATCAGAGTAAGGGTGTTAAACACAGTCAGAAGGAAAGGGAAGACTTATAGTTAAACACTACTGTAGGAAGATAAGCCCATTAAGGACTTACTATCTTGTATGTAGATAATAAAAATGCATTTTCTAGGAAATGGAGAAAAATCTAAATGATCTTTCAAATCATTAATGACTACTAATGGTTAAAATGTAATTTTTCAATAGTTGATAGTATTAAAATGGCTTTAACTGTGAGATATTCTACTTCCAAAATTTAGTTTGTTGAGTTGCTTGGAATTGAAAAGTCAATTCCAAGACTTTTGGCCTTTTATTACTGTCTAAATGCATCTCGTAGTATGAAGTAAATGTTCTAAGTCTTTGTAGAACTATGAAAAGCCTTGAAATCCTAACTTATTTCTATTTAAGGTTAAAGAATGGAAGAAACTTTTAAAAGATTTACATATTATGCTATTTATCACATGTACTTTAATAAAACATTGGAATCTTACAAATAAAATGAAGATTCAGCCATCCTTGGCAATGGATCAATCATTTTTTATAGTTTTTATGTTACTTTTACAGTCATAATTATTTTTTCTAATGTAGATTCTTATTTGGCTAAAAGAATACATTCCTTGAAAAGCATAATTTTGTCCTTAAAGAAAATATGATTTCTTAATTATACTTCGAAGACTGGCTGTTTCTTAGGTGGGAAGAGGACCTTCCTGGTAAGAATATACGTTTTAGATGTCATTCAGATGGTTAGTAATTATTTCTTAAAAATAACATAGAGACACTTAATGTCTTTACCAAGAAAATCCTTCCTCTCTAAAAGAAAGGGCTCATGGACTAAGTTTACTTACATAAAACACAAATATCTTGAAATGTTCTATCTCAATTTTGCTCAAACTGAGCTGTAGAAGTCTATAAATCCAGCAGCAGAATTAGGAGGAATGAGAAGTCCAATTAGAGTTCACTACAATTGTACTGATTCACAAATGGATTTTGGCTGGTCCAATTGCCTGAAATTCACCATCAGTTCTGTACTTAGCATTTCCTACACAAACTTGAAGGTGTGGTGGAATTTATGTGACCAGTTAAAAAGTGGAAGAAAAACATTCTAAATTTGAAATCCTAAAGAGTGAAGTACAGCAGCTCAAATATCTGGTCCATAGGATCCAATTACTATACTGATAAGGTGTTTTAAAGTTTTACAGTTTATAATAGCTTAAGATGGAAAGGAAAATTGAAGTTCACCAATCTACCAATAAATGAGGTTATGCTCAGGTTTAATCTATAAACAGATGCACGTATGGCTCATGAAATCAAAGCCAGCTCAGGGCTAGTGATAAGCAGATCAAGGTTAGTAGAGTTTCTGGGCTTTGAATTAACAGATCTATTTTGCTAATGCTGTTAGATATCTTTGTGCTTTATTCCTTTTTAATGAAGTAAATGGTTTGAGTGCAGTTTGTATTTCCTTCTGTTGTTTGTTTGAATTTGGGTGTGTAATATTACACAGATTCATAATAGTTTCCATTAAATTGCCTCCAAGGATTTAGTGGAATAGCTTTTTGTTGTTGTTTTAATACTGTGGTTTAATGGGATTTATATGCCTGTGGGTGTGTGTTTAATGTCCAAGGTTGTTTCATATCTTTGTACTTAATTAATCTAGCAGCCTTGTGGCAATGTGATATTATTTTAGCTCTTTAGTTGATTATCATTAAAATGCCATTTATTTCATAAAATAGCCATGGAAAATAAATAACACAGTTAATAGATATATTTTTCTCAGCTTATAGGTACAGAATTTCTGCTGTAAATTTATTCTTGCATTATTTGGTTGCATTTATGAAAAGATAAGGTTTTAGTTTATTTATGCATTTGTATAATTATGTATTAATAGTGTATGACAGTAAAACTGGACAGGAAGATGGACAACCAACTGTTGATATGTAATAATATAAATTCCCATCTTTCACACTTTAAAATGCATGTTTATGTTTTTGGATGAAGTTACCTTGGAAATGTAATAAAAATATTAATAGAAACCTACTGAGATTACATTTTAAACCCTTGGTAGATAGCATGAATTATTAATAAATTTCTCAGTGTTCCTTAATGTTTTCAATTTCCACATACTTTTGTGAATTTCATGACTCTCAGTGTTAACTGATATACTTAGAAATGGCTTCTTTCAAGTAGAGATGATATGTGTACTCTAGAGGATGAAGTTATGAAAGCAGTACGAGTAAAATATCACTAGAAAATATTCAGGATGAGAGACAATACTTGCTGAAGTCTCTTTAGTGCCTTTTATGGCAGACATGACAGCCAATCCTGATCCAGACTTTGCTCACGCTCTGCAGAAAAGAGAAAGTCTGAGCATCACATTAAAAAAAATTAAACAAAATGGTTTCCAATTGAGTACAGTGACAAGCTTCTGCTAACAAGAGAGAGTGCAAGAGAGGATAGCATGTTCAAGGCCACATGCTAAAGACAGATGCACCAACAGTCACAAGCACCACAAGTTTGTTCATGGAAACATTTGTTGCACCTGACAAATATTTGTAAACTTCTTGAAAGACAAGCAGAGTCTGGTTGGGGCTGACTGTCATGTACCCAAGGTAGTGGTAACTAACAGACACTGCATCCCACAGTTTGCTGTGGGTGATGGTAAACTCCAAACAGGCAGAAGATGAAAGAGAAGTTCTGGGGGTGGGTGTACTCACATGACAGAAGTCAGTCACAGTCATATACCTGCACAGACCTGCTGCCGGCTTTGTGAAACTTATTCTATTCTAAAAACTGGAGATGGTAAGATATAGGGAGGGATGTCTCTTTCACTCTGAAAGTAATTTTTCTCAAGACAAATACTCTAAAAATTAAATGCACTGGTAAAGTAGCATATGGCTTCTAATGGAATTTCTTGTAGGATTTATAGCTCTGTGCTATATTTTATGCAAGTGATTTCTAGTAAATCAGGTGATGTCTACACCTATTTAGCAGTGCCCACATAAACTGCTTAATTGTATAACAGATGATTTGCTTACTTTCCTCAACTATCTGGTATTTCCACACTGGAGACTCTTTCTCTTTCTCTCTCTCTCTCTCTCTAATTTGAAGACCCAGAATAGAAACCTTTCAAGTAGTATGGTAACAACTTCCTAATGAGAAACCTCAGTGTTCACCCCCAAATAGCAAATGTGTTTAATGTATATCCCAGTTGAATTTTCCTTTTCCAATGTATTTTTCAGCTTATAGTCAAATGAGCAGATATTCCAAACACGACGGCATCTGCGACTTATGATTTTCTTAAATTAATGCATTTAATCTTGGAAGTTTTTCTATACCATATGTCTGGAATCAAAGCTGAAGAAAAATCCACAAAAGAGATGGATTTTTTCCAAAGTTTATAACAATTTCTTTCTTCCCTCCAACCGAAACAAAATCCCCCAAATCATAGAAAACGTATAAAAGAGATTACATTTCTATGGCTGAATTTTATTTTCCCAGCCCCTACAGTGTATTGTTGCTATGGTCACCCACTGAGGGAGAGTGTGAACGGCACTGGGAGGCTATGATGAATCTCAGTAGGGTTTGTCAGAGTGGTCATTAGGTAGAAGTTCTAGGTACTGTCAGTAATTGGAGGAATCTAAGTGAACTTAATCTTCAAAAGATTTAAATTCCACTCCTTTTAAACCTTTGCCTTGTAGAGTTATGGCCAAAAAGGAAAGGACCGACATCTCCATCTATGCAAGTTTGTAAACAATTTCTAAGGTACTTTATCCTTTGCTACCCAGAGGAAAATTTGTATTCATTGCTTGATAAAAGTGTTTTAGATATGTAGCAAGGGAGTTCCATTTAGGTCATATTTTTTGCTTTTTCTTTGTCTCCAGAACTGGCTAGAAAGTCAGTTGCTATTTTTTTTTTAAATTGCTGAGATGGTGTTTGAGCCTACCCTCTAGCTTCACGGTGGAGTTTACCAGCACGAAAGCCTGTCAGCAGACTGTGGGATGCGTGTGACAAACATGGGCAACCGGAATACCTTGCTGCATGAGAGCTCCAACTCCAAACCAGAAACTGTTTAGTAAAGTAAAATTGTTTTCCACCACATCTGAGTCAGGGTTGCACGGGTGGGGGTTATACCACTCATAGGGTGTAAACCTGTGGCAGTTAACAGAAACAGTCTGTCAATATCAGATAAACGCATGAGGGCACCGACAAAACCTGCTGAGCGAGCAGAAACCTCAACAGTTAATGATGAATGCTTCAGACCAAAAGAGGAAAGGCCGTGTTCATAAACTTGCAGCTTTGGCAGACAAAGTGCAAAGAAAGAGCCTTGAGGTGTTAGTATTTACCAGACTTCTTATTTCTGGGCAAAGCCCTTTGGTCAGCTGGAAATGTTCTCCTCAGATCTACGTCTACAGAATTCTTCTGAGTTCTCATTCATTTCCATTTTACTGAACAACTAGATGAGCTGTAAAGAAAGGTTCGCTCGTCCCAAGTATTCACCCCACCAAGTAGCGATGAGCATGACAGACACACACTTGTTGCATAGGAACTACAGCGTCAAGATACCATGTTGCTAGGTCCTGGGGGAGACACGAAGAAGAGGGGTGATTTGCCTTCAGGGGTTTCTATGGACAGATGCTGAGCAGGAACCTAAGTGGTCTAGTAAGTTTTCAGTGCATCAAAGGGGCTGGCTGCAAGGCTAAAAAATATTAGGGAACAAAAAGAAGAACTGGATTTGGGACACATTGGATATTTTTAGGATAATACATGGGAAAATATCATAATCCTTAAGTGATGAAACAAAGTTTAAGTTTGGAAATATCATGACCCAGGCCTATTGGTACCTTAGTATTAACTCTATAGCATGCCTCACTGGAGAGTTTTAAATTCATAATTTCCTCTTGATTTGTTTTTAATATAATTATTCTCAGAACTATGGCCTGTGGTCACTTAATCACTGACACTGTTTAGGTTAGAGATATGTTTTCTACAGTATTATCTGAGGTCTACCCACAAGGTGGTGAGCCACCACCAGCAGTAACATTTTCTAGAAAAACAACTGTAGTCTAGGAAGTCCACCTTGAACAATTTACTCAACCTCTCTGGCCTCAATTTCCTTATTTGAAAAGAGAAGGGAATCCAGGTATCCCTGGGCGGGGGTGGTGCTTAAAATGAAAATTTGTGGAACTGAATACAGTTTTGTTTCTTTCCCTATTTTGTAAGCATCTATCTGACCTATGCAGCCCAAAGGATGTCTCTGCTCTGTGATTATTTTGGGGGGCTATCTTGCCAAGCAGTGGTTATTTTTCCAAAGAGGCATTGGCATATACTCAGCAAAGTGATCTGGAAATGATTTAAAATGCAGTAATTCTTAGCACTGGAAGCTTTTCTATTTGCCATTGGGTCCTTTGAATGTTAGAGTAGTGTTAATATGCCATAAAGCCAAGGAGAACATATGGAACTCTCTCTAGCCATAAGGTTTCAGCAGTAAACAATAGCAGGTTGCTGGTACAATGGGGAGAACTGGGCTTAAGGTGAATACATTATCTAAAGCGAAGAACAGGGCACGCTGTGAATCATGCAGAAGGAACTGGGCAGACAGTTACTTTTAATGAAAAACTGCTCTCCAAACCCCTGGACACCTTCTGGAAAGTGTGCATTGTTTCCTTATTGAGTCTTAGGGGAACTGGGAAAACAGCCTTGTGGTTTATCCCACCATAACGGGATAAGCCCGACTCGTTATTGTGGCTTCTCTACGGCTGCAGGGTACACCGTGCAGGTTCCTACAAAGCTTATGAATAGAGCTTTAATTGACAATGCCATGCCAATACATTTCAATTAATGTTTAAACAATATAATTAAGTTTTGAATTTATACACTCTTATAACCATAGTAGTTTGCTGAGCTGAAGAAATGAATACCAATATTAGTGAACCTATTAATTGAAACAGTATGCAGAGTAAAGATGCCGCTGCTTAAACAATATCATTGTCACTTGTACAATAATTTTAAAATATTAATTACAATAAATTAGGAGGCTTATGCATTCAAGAGAAGGTTTTTTTTTTTTTTTTTCCCCAAATAGACCATAAAACCTTGCAACCACCAGCCGCCTGATATTCTGGCATTTTTTTCCCCAGATCTGCTCCCATTAATGAGCTCACTACTTCCCTCCTTGGAATGCTACTTTTAACTTCATCTTGTTTCCATATTTCACATTTTGCACTTATAAGTGAGCAATTAATCTAATTTTTTTGTGGCAAAAAGGAAAGCTGTCTAAATACCAATGTGATTCTGCCTGCTCTGCAGAGATATTTTAGGTTCTTTCTCTTCGGGATTCTGAGTGACTTGGGGAGCATGAGGACTGGTGAATATTAAATGATGACATGATGCTGTGCTGTCGGACATTGTATTTTTATAATGCAATAGACCTACCTGTTGCCTGGATGTAGATATTTCAGCTTGGAATTCCTAACACCTGCTTAAATAGCCAGTGTGACAGCAGTGTCAGCATCAGGCAGTCTGGGGGAAGGATTAATATATGACCTACACCTGTGATAATCTGAAATTGCTATCCCCAAATGACTCTCAAGAAATCAATACTGATCTGCAGTAAAATGTTAGAGAAAGGGACAAATGTGCTTAGAAAGTATGTCAAAACTTGCGTATAGAAGAGTAGCCTTATGCTGAAATGGGAAGCCCATTTGGAGTTTATGTTTATATATGCCAGATTTATAATGGAATGGAAGATATAAAATGATCCTCACACTGAAGTTTGCTAATTAAACTTCTTGTGGCTGAGAGTGGACATTAGGCTGTATTGAGGAGGGGGAAATCATTCATCTTTCAAAGAAGAATGCTCTATTTGAACTTGTAATATAAGGACTGGGTTCGTAGTATAAACTATATTTAGTACTAGAAAGTACTAGTATAGTATAGTACTCTAGAAAGTACTATATTTACTTGCTAGAGTATCTTTGCTTTTTATTTATTTATTTTTTTACCAAATGACAAATTAAAAATTGTTCCTTTTTAAGAAGACAAACATAAATAAAATGTAAGCAGACATTCTATCAGGACATTTGATCTATTTAAATTGTATTTATGATGGACATAATTCCTAAGTGCTAGATAATTTTCAAAAAGTAGGAAAAAATGTCAATTACAAGACTAAAAGCCAACATATACACTTAATAAAAGTCATAGTAATTAAATTTTTATGTCATTTTCCTGAATATGACCCATTAATGTCTATAACTTTATAAATTTAATTCAGGTTAGTGAATGATTTTTAAGCATCTATCTAGTGAGGGAATTAGCTTAGATGCAATGATGGAGCTTTATTTTTCCCCTTTAAGAGAACGTAAAAGGATACTTCAAAACATAAATTCAAAAGCCTCTCTAGAGCTAAAGATGATTATGCAATTAACTGTTTTTCATTTCTATATCACTAGCTTTGATTTACAGACTACTAATATGGTAACCAAAAATCATTTTACATCTTAGCTTATGGGTGCAGAGAGATTGAGTTCAGAGTCTCGAACTGCCACCGTGGGAAGTAAAAATTAATGGGCACACCTATTGAACTAGAATTTTGTTTTGGGGAATCACCTCTGAAATACATTTGATGGCTTCATGAAGTAGGAGCAGGGATGGATTCCAAGGTGTAGAGAAGGTGAATGCAGTTCAGAGTACAGTCTCCGTGACAGTGCACCTGTGAACTGCGGAGTTATTTTCTATATTTTTATATGTTGTGTATTTTATCATCATGCTGTTTGCAAGTTTGCATTAATCACTTCCCAACCAAGACCCAGTGCAAGAAGACAATGGAAGGGGAGACAAGGAGAGTGAGCTAAATAAAGAAGGGCTGGTTTATAAACGGTACTGTCAGTGAGTAGGGAATACTGAGTGGACCTCATTGATGTGTGTGTGTTGGGGGCTGCTGCTATTTTAGTAGAAATAGAATGTGTGAAGTTAGAAAATGTAGATGTCTGGGTCACCATGAGCTTATGGTATAACAGACAAAACAAAGAGAGGAAAACCGCTGAATGTTACACTATTCTGACATACTCTCATGACAAAAATAAGGTGATTTAAGGGTACCTTAAAAGGTCAAGTGTAAAAGGGTACTTTCAGCCTATGTACTGGTGAAAACTTTCGGATGCTGCTGCTATGTTTTTTCTTCCACTGACTTTGGTCAAGTCATCGTAATAAATAATGTACTTGCTCATCAACATTGTCTTGCCTGTTCTGCTCATCAGCATCACTGCCTAGACAGAGCCACAGACTGGCATGTATGGAAACTCACTTCTCTGCTGCCCTGTGCTGCTTGGATTGCTCCACTAGTCCTAATATCACTCAGCAGGTGTTGGCCTCAGGGCAGAGTATGCAACAACAAATGAACACAAGATTGCTTGTTTGAGGGCATTTCATCTTAGGGTAGTCATTATTAAATGACTATTCCAGGGCAACATTACCTTTACTTAGAAGCCAATAATGAGAAATATACCTCCAAAGGTGAATAATTTATTTTTTCTTAATTTGATTTCCAAAGCAATATTTTTTGGATTGTTTCAAGCATGGTTTCTCAACCTTGGAACTATTGACATTTTGTAGTGGATAATTCTTCACTGTGTGTGTGTGTCGGGGGGCACCGTCTTGAACACTTTTGGATGTTTAGCAGCATCCTGGACTTCATCCACTTGATACCAGTAGCACTCCCCACTCCTAGTCGTGACAACCAGAGAAAAATGTTTGCAGACACTGCCAGATGTTCCCTGGGGGGCAAAATCTCTCCCAGTTGAGAACCATTGATCTAGAATATTAAAGTATCAAAGGATGATATCACTATACATACTCTCAATATTTTATTTTCTGAAGTAAGGCATATGGTAAGAGAGCTTTGGTCCCTATTTAGAGTATAAAATCTGGGATTTAGTAATGTTACATTTTATAAGGTGTAGAGCATTTTGAAACATTCGTTTCATGTTGAATATATAAGTATCCACATGTGAGAGCACAATTTATTCAGGTTGATTATTTCTGCCTTGTGAATCTCTAAGACCTTTCCAGCCTTGGTTATTTTTCCAAACTTTCTTTATAATTACACCAGGGAAAGAGTTACCTGGCATTAATCAAAACCAGACAGTGGACAATGACAAAGAGCTAGCATGAAGAAATATTTCTCTTAGAAATTCCTAGAGGGAAAACAAAAATTGATTAGGGAAAAAGTTCACTGAGTTTTGTTGAAATGTGAAAAGATTGAAAATAAGTAGGGAACATACAAAGCAATTATTTTTTTATGTGGTTTATCTAGGGATAGCAAATGTTTAAGCTGATGGAAAGATAAACAGCTGTTTCAAATTCAGCATAAAAGATATTTAGAAAATATGATCTACTGAGAGGTATCAAAATCCTTTAAAGAACTGTATAGAGCAGAATGGTTAAACATAGAGTTAAATCTCAAAAAATTAAACCTCGACTGAATCATCATAATGGTAGCATAAATATTTCATGCCTCCAGGCTCTATACATAAGCAGTCTTTCCTTTCAGCTTTATTTCCAGCATTGTTAACTCTCTAATGTTCGTAAAAATAAATTTCATAGAATTTTCAAAGTATTTTTCTTTATTCCTGAGGATTTCACAAACTTTTTATTCCAGTGTTTTTTATTTGCTATGATAATGCCTAGCTAACTTTTTTCCTGTTTTGCATGTCCAAATGTTCCAGGGGTCAAATATCTTGAATATTTTATTATTCCTATTAAAACATTTTAGATGGCTTATTAGTTAAGCCATGGCTTTTGTTGTATTATAACTCAGAGAAAATGGATAAAGAACCATTGTATTTTGCTTGGAATTTGGATAAAATTAAACTAATACTAAACATTTTCTTCTTACTCTCTTTTAAAAGTAACTTTACAAATAATTATTAATAGAGGACATTTATTTACTGAGTTGCTTTTATGTAAAAACCTTGAGAGAACAGAATATTAAGCAAAACTAAAAGTGCACTTTAAAGTTCTTAATTTTTGTCTACTTCTAGAACATACAGAAATCTGAGGCCAAACTACACCTGTTGTTGTGAATTCAGTAGTTCTTGAACTTACCTTGCTATCACAAAGAGTACACAGCTGACTCCCAAGCAGGCTAAGAGCACATACATCCAAATATCTGGAGACAGGGGGTTGAGGAAGGAGAAGACGCCTGGGTTGGTACCATTGGGTTTCCGGTAGAGAATGCTGATGCCCAGGGTCATGAATGGTTTGGAGAAGTCGATGACTTTCTCCCGCACGTAGGTGATGGTTAGAGGAGCCACCGCCAGGTCAGCCTTCTGCAACACAAGTCCAAAATTATCAGGTTAGTTAGCTTTTTTGCAAAAGTCTGGACTGTTCCTGAGCACCCTTGATTCCTATTCTCAACTCCAAATGCTTCTCACGTCTGTGGTGATTGGCTCTCATACAAAAATAGTCCATTTACACAGTTATGTTTATGAAATAGTATTTATCAGCAAAGGGAAACCAGAAGTATAAACACACACACACACACACACACACACACACGCACACACACACACAGACGTATATTCATCATTCTGGAACTAATTGAAGGAAAAAATGCAGAAGGATGTCTTTAAAAAGGTCACATGAGAAAAAGAAGAAATGAACAACCCCATCATAATATTAGTTGACAACATGAGATTTTTCTCTCAGCTGAAGACTTTAGAATTCTTAATTTAATTTAAGAATCAATCAGGTTTATTCTTCAGTATAAAGGATGGACCTATAAATTTTCATCATCAATTTTTACCCTTACTTGCTTTTCTAAATAAGCAAACTCCATTTCTAGGTTGTTTTCTAAATTTTTTAAACCATTTTTATGATTCAAAAAAAGAAAACATTTCTTCTGACAACATTTTTTCTCTTTTCATTTACTTCCTCTTATTATGCATTTTTAAAGACACATTAGATGTTTTTATGCTTACGTGATCTATGAGTTCTTTCACCATCCCATTCCATTCTCCTTTGTCATTCTGGGCTCCATATTTGCCATCAGGGACTAGCTTAACATCATAAATAAAACCCAGGATGTTTGACAATTCTTTCAACAGATCCAGGCAATATCCTTCAAATCTGTCATTTCCATACAGGGGCTTATCGGATTTCCTGTACATCACATAGGGCTCTTCCTAAAGGAAGCAAACCAAATATGAAAACTGTTATAATGAAAGGAAGAACTTACTCCATCAGCAGCCTAAAGGTATAAAATATTTGAAAATGATTTTGAAGAGTCACGAGTACTGAAGTCAGTCACCCACTTTCCTGCCTACATCCTCTACAAATACGGAACATTTCATATATTATTTTTTCTTTTCCTCCCACTTCTTTGGATGAGAGTTTTTCCTTCCCATGCTGAGTGAATGGTGTGATGGAGACACAGCCACATTTAGTCTTGGGTCTGGGAAGAGGGCAAGGCTCAGATGCCTGGCCTCCCGCTGTCCCGACACCCAAGTGTCCTTCCTCCTTCCTGGCTTTTGTCTAAGAGCCTCACCTTAAAAAAGAGAAATCTAAATCACCAAATATCTCCTCTCACTCTTCAAACTTCCTGTCTACTGACTATTCTCATTTCCTCATCTAAATTACATCTCATTTTCACTATTTGCTTACTATCTATATATTTTGGTTGGCTTCCTTCAGGATATCCTATTCCAAGGGTCATTTCTACATCTTTTATCAGCAATGGTCCTATTTTCTTATATGAAATCACCTCAAATCTCACATCTGGCAAATCTTTGCTTATGTGCTTACATGATAAATGCTCATCCCGTAAATAATGGACATCCCCCTACTATCATGGATTTATAACCTTACTAATTCCCATTTGGCTGTATGAAAGTTCATTTTGTTTTATAAAATTTTAATAGCTACTCTACTGCTGACATGTTCTTTATGGGTAGGTTTATCCTCAAACTGATAGTTGGGTTATGCAAATACAATAGAAAACCCTATATTTCCATAATACGGTTGCAAAGAAAGTAATGACCAGAAGAACAAGTGTTTTTACTTTAGATGAACAATTCTCACAAATAATTAATTATTTCAAAAATAAATTGATTGGACTTTATGGACTGAAATAAAGCAGGCATGTCTGTGAGTGAAGATTTCAGAGAGGTCTACCCCTGCCTAACTCCCCTTGGAAAAGGAAAAGGTGGAGAAGAAACAACTAACAGGTGTCCAGGGGCTGGATGGGATATGATGAGTGTTCCAACAGGAGGCAGGGCTTTTGAAGAGCAATTACTTGAAGGACTATTTTCCAGAGGTGTTAGCAGAGCAAAGGGAGCTAAGGGAGGTGGGGATGAGATTTGGGAGCAAGGTGTAAGCATACAGGGAACAGCCTCATCAGGAAGCCCACACTGCCCAGGGCTGAGGCAAGAGTCCTCCAGAGCTGCTGGGCCCCAGAAGCGAGGTCATTGACAGGGCAGGGGCTACTGTGGGAGGCCAGAGGCTCTGACAAAACCACTGGGTGGCAGTTGGGAGGGGACCAGGGAAGAACTTCTCTTACTTCTCTTCTCCTATTTCCCTGGTCTCTTGCCAGAGTCTCCTTGTGGTTGAAACCAAGCAGCAGCTAGAGAGCAAGGAAGACCAGCTGGGCAGGCACAGAGACTGGGGCAGAGCTGGGCTGAGCATGGATTGAAGGTGGGGGATCTTCTGGACAATGTTGGAAGCTTGAAATTCAATTCTATTATAAGTATAGGCTTTTAGTGTCCCAGATAAAAATAGACATGTGCAGACAGAACTGTGGGTATAAAAAAGACAGTTGAAGAATCCATCAGAATCTAGGGTAAGAGTCTAGATAAGATGCCCAGAATTCCATAAAGTCAACTTACCAGAATGGTGGTGACAATGAGTGTTCGGTTGGCCAGTGAATCTGTGATATTGTTGGATCTGTCTTTGTTGCCGTCCGTCATGTTAAGCCCATTGTTGGAATTCCAAATCCCAATCTACATAGAACACAGTACATCAGAGGCTGCTGGCTGTCAGTGATGGCATTTACACTACACCAGGAATGGGCACAAAATCTCACAGTTTGGGATACGAGGGAATCACAGTGAAAGCTACTCCATGTGGGAAAATGAAACAATGGAGGAATGAGTGTGTAGGAGAAGTAGGAGAGATCTGTGCTATCGGGGGCATGGTGGAAGGGTCTCTTTGTTTTTAATTTATTAAGCTCATTATTCTTTTTTAAACTAAAAATATTTAAGAATTCTTAAATGAATATCAGATTTTTCTTCCAATATATATTTGTTGAGCACCTACTTATGTATCAGGTACTATTCTAGGCATTGGAGGACATAGCAATAAATAAAACAGACAAGAAGTTCTGCTTGTGTGGAGCTTACATTCTACTGATACAAACCTGCTGCTGCCGAAGTGGGATCACTAGTGTCTTCAAAATTTATGAATAATGGGATGGAAGGAATAAGGTGGATGATGGAAAGACTGGGTATCAAAAAGGGAAAGATAAATGGAACAAAACGTGGATGAGAAGTAGGCTAAGTTCTAGGCCTATCTTCATTGAGGAGCTGATGCTAGGCAGGGGGTGCCTCTTGCGGACCCTAACAGGGCTGTATTCATGCCTCTGTCAGACCTTGCATCTTCTGCTATTACCATCTGTTTACCTGTCTTCTCTGTCCACTTGGCCATGAACTCCTTCAGTCAGGGTACTCACTTTTATTGTTCATTGTTCTTTCTATCACAGAACGAACCATGGCAATTGGTATTCAGTAAAGCCTATTACTCTTTTTTTAAAATAACAACCCACAATTTTCTCCAGTGGCTGAGTCACTCCTGGGTTATTAGAGCCCTGCAATAGTGTATTGATCTGTTTAGCTTCTGGCAGACCCCAGGAGAAAACTTTAGGGAAATGAACTATTTGTCTGAATCCTTCTGTAGGCATTTAGTGCCAGCCTCATGCAGAGCCATGCAAGTGGGTTTCAGAGCTGTGTGTCCTTGGCCAAGATGCCAAACTTTCTGAGCTTCGGTTCTCTAAGTATGAAGTATTTTACAGAGATAATTAGAGGATCAAATGAGATGATGTATGTGGAATGTTGGTGTGTGTTAAGAGTTGCACATATGACATTAATAATAATAAAAGACATTAAAACGACTGCCCCAGTAATTTCTTCAAGCTTTCCCTGTTGGGAAAGAATTTGGTATCATTTTTTTTTAAATTCATACGCTAATAAAGTAAAAGAGCTATGAAAAACAGGGGCAGTTTAGGAATGAACACTAACACTTGGACATACTTTGAGATGGTCAGGGTGGATCTATGCTCAATTCCTAAATAGATTCCCCCAATGGGAAGGCAAGTGGGAGTGTTAGGTTCTGTCCTTTGCTTTTCTATTTCTTTACTTTGATTCACTGCCTAAATTTAGCAGCTGGAAATTCATTTAGCTTGACAAGTATCCTTTTTAGAGACATAAATCCTTTGAGGCAGTTTCAAAGACTATTACACCTTCACACATTAGTGTAAATTATTTCAATTTCACTCTTTTTTCTATACTTAATTAGGGTTAGTTGACTGGAGAAATAAAGAGACAGGTGTAGGTAAATGGGGGTATGGAGGTAGTTTTTGCATTTGAAAATATTGTGATCTTCCCTAAAAAGAGATACTCATTGAATTATTGGCTGGGGCCCTTAATAACCATTCAGTATTTCCAGATCTAGTGTGATGACTGTCATCTAGAATGTGCATTATACATCTGTTGATTGAGGACAATTCAGTTTTCTTTGGCTGGCCTTAAATCCAGGAAAGGGGGCAACACTTTCTTCCCTTTCTTCTCAATTCAGAACCCTTTTTCCACTTTTTTTTAGGCAGGGATTCTTGCTTCTAGGAAACAATTCATGCTAACTACATCTGGCTATTGGTTTTCATCCAAAGCTATGCTTTAGGTTATGGCTCCTAACTCCATGAAGACTCTGTATAAACTGGGCCCTGGCTATATTTCTAATTAAGCCTTGACTTAGGCACTTAGGAGAATGGAATCTGATTTTTAATTAGATAAATATTGAAGGGTGGGGAAAAATAACTGTTTTTAGCTACTTTGTTAAGTAATAGAATGTGTTTTCTTTAACTCATTTTAATTAAAGTCAAGGTTGTGTGTGTTTAAAGGAACTACACTAATATTTGAAAACGACAATGTTGAATGGCCTAGAAACACCATTCTCTTCTAAAATTAAATTTGAACTTGTAGACAAATACACCTCACTGCTTGATTTCTTTTGCCATCTCCACTAAAAGTGTAAAAGGTAAGAGGTCATTGCTGCCCATGATCCAATCAACTAAGTCCCAGAGTCCCATTCAGGGTGAACTTGCTTCCTTAAGATGAGAAAAAGATGACTATTTTTTTTCCCCTTCTATCTGTATAATAGAAGATCCTTCAAATGTAGACTAGAAGACTACAAGAATTAATAAAGGTCAGGTTATTCCTGGGAAGTGGACCAGACGCATATGCAATTTGAATGACTTCAGTCTTCTGTTTCCAAACGTGTAATCAGCAAAACAGAAAAGCACATATGTGTTTGTGTGTGTGTCTGCGTGTCTGTGTGTTTTTTAAACCTAAGTAGTCAAGTGGCTTTACCTGTTCATTGAAGTAAATGAATGTATTACAACAAATGAATGTCTCTCTCTGAAAAAGTCAGATTCATGATTCATGTGTCTGGGGGAAGGGATACAGTTAACCAGATGGCCGGACATTTGACACTTCAGTTTTGTTCTGCCACTTTGGAGGAGTGCCTCCAGGAAGCAGAACCTCAATTTTCAAACTGTATAGTGAAAGCAGACAGCAGTAATTTACCAGTGAGAAGTAGTGGAGGGTGGATCAGTTATTTGTGGGGAGGAACACTCAAAAGCTAACTTGTCTGGCCCTGACTTCTTTCACTTTGTAAGCTGACATGAGAGCACAGCCATTTGTCATCTAGGACAACTGAGCAAAGCATTTCAAAATGAGTGCCCAAATGACATTAAGCAAACTTTAAAAAAAAAAAAAAAGAATGCAACAAAAGGGCATTCACAGAGTGACTAGTATCTATCTTTCAAACCTAGAGAATGAGTGATTCACATAATTAAATATCTAGGGAGGAAAGATAAAAGTGTATCTGTTTCCTGTATTATGGGGCATCTGTGCTAGAACTCAGGTCACTGTGAGTTGTGGATGACTGGTCATAACACAAAACAGCTCACCACACCATATAGAGCTAGCGATGTGGGTCAGGAAGGAAGAGACATAAAGGCATGGAGGATCAAGTCCAAAGAGTTACTTCCCTGGGAAGTGGATACGGATATTGTGTTTTATGACAAATGAAGGGCATTCCCCCTCCCTTGCATATAATTTGAGAGCTTGGATTCCATTCCCTAGGATATTTGGATTGAATTAACTCAAAGTGCTCAGAATCTCGAGCTGGATCAGTGTGATAGTTTTCTTTTGGGGTGACAGTTAGGTTCATCTGTTTAGTAGCAGTGAGGAAACTGGATTGCCTTCTACGTGCCTTTAGTAGCCTGGTTCATTGAAGATTAAAACAAGGTTATTAAATCTGTGTTTTTTAAAAGTTAAAAGGAGGAAATTTTTAAGCTCATCTACCGAGTACCACTAAGAGGAAGACAAGCTTTTTGGCTACAGGGGGAAACTGTGTACATATTCTGTGACTTAGCTGATAATTTGAAAGAGGAAAGTAAGTCTGACAAAACTGCGGTAATTTAAGGACTATCTATCAATCCACATATCTTTTAGCAAGTAGTTTGAGAGAGAAAGGGGGAGAGAGAGCATGAAAGACAATGTTTTCCTGTCACTGGGACCTTTTCCAATTCAAATGTTTTTAATGTCTAACATTTGCTTACATAAATCCATGCACATTTCATTGGCAACATGATACTGTAAAATAAACTATAAAATAGTGGGTGTTATAGTTTACAATATAATTTCGTTTCTCTTCCAAGGTCTCTAAAGTTTTTATCCTCTGGAAACTGTGGTTCTAAAACAAATTGCAAGGCAGTACGCTCTGATGAAGATACCATGCAAAACAAAGATAGTTCATAAGAAAAGGGAATTTCTGAAAATGGCTCGTAGTTTGTAGTGGTGACATTGAAGGAGGTGTCCTAGCCTTCTGAGGCAGTAGCCTATCTGACTAGCCTAATAGATCAAATGTATTGTTGTTTTCACGCCCCTTAGGGAGAATATTTAGTGATTTGAGAAGGAGCATAAATGGACCAGTGTCTGCTTCTATTGCAGTTACCTGCTTTCAGTCCTAACAGGGACTGACCCTGCCTGAGAGAAACAAAAATAATCTAGGGGGAAATATTTAATCTGTCATTAGTTAATCCATCACAAGCCTGTTTTCAGTTCACGAGTAATGTTGAGAGAGAACATATTCAATCACTCCCCCCCCCACCTCCCTTACATAGACTATCATCTCTGAACTGCAATTGGAGAGCTACTGGTCTGGCAAAATTGGAAGGATGCAAGTTTTTCCAATGACATTCCCCACCGCACCCCCAGGTTTCCTGCAGTTGTTGTCAGAGTACAAACCTTCTTCCACACTTTATACAAGTGTTTAGACACTTCTCCAGCAGCCTTGGTTTTCAGAGGGAAAAATAAAAATAGCACTTAATTAAAATGGAGCATGGAACCCAAAAGGTATCATGGTGTGTGAGTGCTAAGAGTGTTGCATTCCCCACCCCATTGTATGGAATTTTGCATCTTAAGTCAATGTAAAGCCTGCAAATAGATACAGTAAAGAGATGAATCAAGACTTTGGTATGACAGAAATTACTTGGTGGTAAGACTTGATTTTTACTTTTCCTTTCACATGCCAAAAAATGACTAAAGTGCTTTTGAATATATATATATAGCTATGCTGCAGTGTTGGGGTCTTCCTCATTACTTAAGGCATTTCTAACTAAAATCAATCAGCTAACCAACCAGTCTATCCACACACACAGCCACACTCACGCATGCACACACGTTAACCATGAGCAAAAACTGAAGCATGCTTGGTGATTTATTATTTGATTATGGGCTTCCAGGAACTAGAAAGCAGAGTGAAAGTGAGAAATGGGCTTTTTCTAATAATTTCCCTGTTGACCCCAGAAAGGCTGACATGAAAAGATTGGGCATTTCCTTCCTTGGCTCCTGAGAGAGATCTGTTGGCTTCCCCTATTGCCTTAAGGCCCAATCAGCCTTCTCAGGAAGTGAGCCCAAGTCACCTGGAGAGAGAAAAGTTATTGCAAACAATAAAGAGAGAAGAAACAAACAGAAAACACTTTCATCTAATTCGATTTTGCCTTTGATGGAAAAACACCAATAGAGTGTGCATAATATTGCAGTGTATAAATAGCTGTGAAAGCATAACAATAGCTCCATCTATTTCATCATCCATCTGAGCCAAAAAGATGTTTCCTTAACAGTTTTTCTTCCCCCTTCAGTGATATACATTAAGAGGAGAGGAGGGGGGAGAAGGACGTGTGCTTCAAGGAGCAGATATTTTCTTTAAAAAAAAAAAATTATAGGCTTTTAGACCACAAAAAGTATTCTTTTCTTTTCTTCCCTCCAGCCCAAATTTCACATTCCATTATGGAGGCTGGGTGGATGCCTTGTGCTCTGTCAGAGCAGGCTGTTAAACCAACAGAGGAGCAAATCAGAGTGAAGAAGCAGCCCTGGAGGAGGGGGGCGGATTTTCAAAATGGGAACCCTGCAGGTAGAATGTGTACTTTCAGAGCTGCAAACTAATTATTTTCCACAAACATTTCACACCAGTGGTCACCTTCTATTACATTCAGCCTAATTAGTCTTTGTTTCAATTAATGCTTTTTTGGGGGAAGGGTAGTTAGGACCTGCAAAAAAAAAAAAAAAAAATGTGTCCCAGTTAACGGAAGCGACAAAATAGAAATGAAAACCTTACCTCATTTTAAAAATCAGCCCTACTGTTTCTAATTAAGTAAGCAATCGATTGTTCCCAAAACCATTCTTACATTAGCACGCTGTCTTATTCACTACAGTGGAAAAAAATGTTGTATTATAGAATTTTGTTGCATAGCTGATTGTTTTGGGGGTTTCAAATTTTTTCTTCTTGAAGGTTCTAAAGGGCAAAATCTTCACACTGTAAGTGTTAATTCCAATCTATAGTCATGAATACTAAAATTAGTGTAATAAAATATACTGAGAATCCACATTCTTTTATCATTATTATTTAACTAAATAGTTTACATTTGTTTTACTCTAAATAGTAACTAAAATAGAATTTTAAACTTTGAGAGATTGAGAATTACAACTAAAATAATCATAAAATGAGAATCCAACATTAAAATATATTTTTTGGCATTTCTCCTGAAATTAAGAATGCAAAGTTAATTTACTCTAATAAGCCTCTTCTATCCTACTTTATTCTATCCCTCTGTCACCAATCTCAAAATGGCGTGCAATGTGCAATTAAAATTAATTTCTGAGTAACCTTGGATGCCATTCCATAGATAAAACATTGACAGCTTCTGATTTTCCAAGTCTAAATTCAATTTCTTAAAACCTTGATACATGGGCCTAATGACATCCAATCATAAGGTTACACATGTAATAATATATGCACACTTATTATATAAACCAAGCACTATTTAAGCATTAGTTAGTATTGCTATTAATAACCCAATTTAAGAATCTAGCATGTCAATATCTATCTGCAGATGAGGGAAAGGGCTAGAAAACTGGATGCAAATGAACATGCTGAAAGAATCACTTTATCGTTCTCCCACTTGTCTGTTCAATTCACCAAAAATGTTCAAGCAATGCTATTTATTTTATTTATTTATTTGTTACTGAGGAGGTTACCTTTTCAGTTCCTTCTTCCTTGAGACTAATAATGTCCAGATCGAAATCCTTCCTCAAGCCATTGGTTTTATTGAAGGTGATAGGCCCCGTCAAGCCATCCCACCGAGCCTGTGGACAAAAAGGAATGTGTTGTTGTTACTGCTGAACACTTACCATGATCCTAAAACCATCAAAATTGTAATACCTCGAATTCATCACAGTATCCAATTATTCGGTTTCATCACGCTGTTATAAACCATTGCATTGGTTCAGTGATTCAACAGCAAAATACTCCTCCATTCTATTAGCACTCATTTATTTTGTCAGTTCTAACAACTTAACACCAGTCAAACCTGTGCTAGTGGTGACCTAAATGAACGAAAAGGATTACTGTAAAATTGTCTGCACGGGGAGTAAACAAAGTCTGGGAGCTCATCATATTCTATTTTTCAAGGTCAATCCACATTCCCTTCAAGGCATTGCTGAGGGGAAGTGCACCCCTCCTTTTTCTTCTTCCGTGAAGAGGATATATTCCAATGATGTATTATCAAATTTTTAGGGTGTTTATGACTGAGGCCTTCTAATACCATTTGGGCATTGCAATTTCCTATGGCTGCTGTAGAAAATAATCACACACTCGGTGGCTTAAAACAGCAGAAATGTATTCTCTCACAGTCCTGGAGGCCAGAATCCAAAATCAGGATCACTGGGCGAAATCAAAGTGTGCGCAGGGCCATGCTCTCTCTGCAGGCTCTGGGTGAGATTCTCTTTGACGCTTTCCGTTTCTGGTGGCCTTCAGCACTCCTGCTCCTTGTCTTGTGGTTGCATCACTCTAATCTCTGCCTCTGTGGTCACACTGCCTCCTCCTCTTCTGTCTGTATGAAATTTCCCTCTGTTTTTCTCTCATAAGGAACTTATGATTGCATTTAGAGCTCACCTGGCTAAACCAGGATAATCCCCCCAATCTCAAAAATCCTTAATTTAATCAGACATCAAAGTCCTTTTTGCCATATAAGGTAACATATAGAGGTTCCAGGGATTAGGACATGGATCTCTCTTCAGGGAGTTACTGCTCTGCCTACCACATGCATCAATATCATTTTAAAAAATAAAAATCACAGTAGTTAGCTCTTCACAGGATTCATATTGGATATCTTTGGTGATTTCATTAGATAAAAAATAACGGCCCTTGAGCTGGTTTTTGGCAACCTTGTTTATTTGAGTTTCATTTACAAAGGGGATAAAGGAGAACTCAGATCTTTGTATACACTCAGCTGTTTCTCTCCATCCTGACTTTACCAAATTTGTCGGACATGGATAAAATGTGAAGATCCTAAAGAATTATACTATGTTTGCAGTTATTTGCACCACGTGCATCCATTGAACGGGTACGTGTGGCCAGGAGGCAGAGCAACGCAGTGGCAAGGGCACGAGTTTTCCACAGAGCTGAGTTTGAGTGTCTGAAGTGTGACTCAGGCAACTCACCTAACCTGAACCTGGGTCATCTCAGATTTCAGTGTTTGGTCCATGCACAGTATTTGTGAGGATTAAATGGCACTTAATTCTTAACACATTGAAAGCATTTTAATTTTTAACCATCATTATTTATTTTTACAAATCTTACTTTCTTTCCCCACTCTCATAAGTCTAGAGTTTGGATGTTAGTACCTTACACATCAGGACCCAGAGGTCTACTTCTTAGTGGCCTATACTACATTTCATTTTACAAATCACTGTCAGGTTCGTGGTCCCAAAATACAATTTGCATATTCATGCATTATCCCTCAGCACATAAAGTACATAATTGATTTATGCAAATTGGTCTAAAAGTCTAGTTAAATATTGTTTGTGGGTGCATCTCTGAGGGGGTTTCCAGAAGAGGTTAGCATTTAAGTTGGTAGGATGAGTGGATGGTCCTTTCTAATGTGGGTGAGCATCATCTAATCCATTGAGCTTAAACAGAATAAAAAGGCAGAGAAAGGACAAATTTGCTCTCTGCCTGATTGTTGGAGCAGAAACATCGGTCTTCTATTCCCAACCTGAGATTTATATCATTGGTGTTCACGGCTTTCAGGCCTCTGAACTCAGACTAGAATTATACCACCAGCTTTCCTGGGTTTCTGGCTTGCAAATGGAAGATTATGGGGACTTCTCAGCCTCCATGATTGTGAGCCAATTTCTTATAATAAATCTTTTTGTGTATATTTCCTACTGGTCTGTTTCTTTGGAAAATCCTGAATAATGCAGAGGTCTATCAAAATTTTGCCTAACCTACCTCTCCAGAATTTTCCACCACTGCTTTTCTATGCACAGCCCCCACTGGATCATTCCTGAGCTCTCTAGCCTCTGTGCACTTGTTCATCACATCCTGCATCCTATTCTCAGCCTTCCCATCTCCATCCATCCTTCAAGATTTGATCATTGTGCTATTTTGGTCCAGGGTCACAGTTCTCCCTTTTGAAGCACAGGGCTCCCAGCCTATATGCTTCTATGACCAGTATTGCCTTGTGTTTTCACGTGCAGTTTTGTACTTATTATTAGTTATCTTTACACTTTTCAGTTTGGAATTCCTAATATCCTCAGATGGATTGGAAGCTTGACAGCCAAACCCTTTTCTCTTACTAAATTGTATTCTCTTTAGTACTTAACAAGATGACATAGCCCTTAGGCACTTTTAATTTTTTCTTGCTCTAATTTGTTCCCCCCAAAATTCTATTAATTTATATGTCTTATTTTTCTGTGTTTTTTCAATTATCTCTCTCTCTCTCTTTTAACATACAATTCCTCAACTCATAATCCCATGTATAAATGGGGAAAATACCGTTGATTGGGAGTCAAGGAACCAAATTTAGTCTTTAAGCCACTATCAAGTTGTATGACTTAGGTTGGATCAATTTGCTCTTTTTTAGGCCACAGAGGAGAGTATGTTAAGTGAAAGTTTTATATAAAATGAGTTTTAACTCTGGAATTCTATAACCATAGAGGAGATACCAAAAAGGGGTTTAATGGAGTTGATAGTCATTCATTAAACACCTATGATTTGCAAGCGAGGCTGTATAAAGCATAAAACATAGTTGCCGTCCTCAGGTTTTAATGTAAAACATATTGCTATCTGGGGAGAAAAGACTACAGAGTTTTGTTCATTTATTTCTTTCACTATTAATGCACTTGCAAAAAATTCACTTAATGAGCATCTTTCTGTGCAAGAAGCTATGCCGGAAATACCACACCTAGCAGTTTACAGTTTAGTAGAAACAAACACATTAATGGATTTCAATAAAGCACTGTAGGTGTGAGGATAAAGATTTGCACAGAGTATTGAAGAAAGACAATGGAGAAGAAACACTTATGCTAACTGCAGGGAAAGAAGGACTCATCAAAACATTTCTGAAGGCAAGAATGTGTAAACTCTCAAAGGATGAGAAGTTGGCCAGCAAAGATTCACAGCCTGGGTAAAAGCACAAAATAAAGAATAAATTATAAGTTTGCTATGGGTCTATAATGCAAGGTAAGAAATAATGAGAAATGATCCTGGGAAAGAAAGGTTGGTAGGTGCCTGTTCATAATGGTATTATGAATTACGCTAGTTTGCTTGGCCATTGCTCTGTAGATGTTTGGGAATCACAGGAGTGTTTTAAGCACAGGAAGTCATGGTCAGATGTATATTATAGGGAAATCATTTTAGCAGAATTGGGGAAGATGATTTGGAGAAAGTCGGGTTGCAAGCAGGGGTTTGGTTAGCAGGTAGTTCTCATAGAACAAAATGCATGGAATCATACTCATATGCCTACATATGAACATAGGGACAGCCCAATTCCTTCATCTCCCTGTCCCACCGACTTGCACACCATTGAATATTAATGGAAATAATGCAGTGGCATCATCATAGCTCACTGTAACCTCAAACTCCTGGACTCAAGCCATCTTCCTGTCTCAGCCTCCCTAGTAGCTGGGACTACAGGCATGCACCACTACACTCAGCATATTTTTCTATTTTGTATAGAGACAGGGTCTCACTGGGTTGCTAAGGCTGGTCTCAAACTCCTGGCCTCAAATGACCTCTGGCCTCAGCCTCCCAAAGTGCTAGAATTACAGGTGTGAGCCACTGCACCAGCCCAGAAGTACATTTTATCACCTGATAATGGCTTGAAATTAAATTAATGTCAGGAAGTGATACGTAGATGGGAAAAGGCTCTAACTCTTTCCACTAAGCAGTCTACATGGCAAACTAGATGGGAGTTGCTCAAATGCTATAACACATAAAAGGAAATTCTTCTTCAGGTTCTTGGACCTGGTCTCTAGAGTTTATTGTCAAGGGAGACCATAACACCAAACACTAGCATTAGCTTTAAAAATATTTTTATGGTTGATAGTAACACCAATTGTTACAATAGCTGAGATATAGGTAATCATGTCTCTGCAACAAGACAAAAATAATCAGCAAAGAATGCAAGTAGAGAGCATCCTCTTGTGTATGCACCTCCCAGCATTGCATTCTTCTTTTCCTCCCCATCACATCCCAGTTCTAGTTTTCAGACTCTGGTCACACCTTCTCACTTTGCAAGCCAAAGGCTGACTTTGTGGATTGATGGGTTAAATGAGAGCCATGAAATAAGCTGCTGTGTTAGGGTTGTAGCATCTGCCCGAGAGCTGAGAATAATTTGTTGAAGGCTTTGGTTCAGTGGAAGTCACTACTGCGTTAGAGGTTTGGATTAAGTCAGTTTTCAGGCCCCTTCTTCACACTTCCAAACAATGTGCAGTTCTAACCCTCCTCCTGATCTGTTTGGAAGGAGGTAGTTATCTTCATTAAATTCTACAGGATTTTCAGAAAGCTTTTTTCTAAAGGCAACTTTTCCTTTATGGGGGTCATGTTGTGAGTCAATTAGGTACATTGTGTGGAGTTTATGGGACTCTCTGAAAATGTACAGAATTGGTAGCATTTATCTCTTAATGTAGCATGTAGCTCATAGCAGGGTCTTAAAACCCAGTTCAGAAATCCAATTTCATTTCCTAAGTGTGTCTATTGTGTCCCTTTGTTTGGATTTTGTTGCATTGGTTTTATTCTTGAACTTAGTGTTCCAATCACTGGTGCAGAGTAATTCCCACTTCTAGCTTTTTTCCTGCTTATC